ATACGATTGAAAAGTTATTGATAGGAATTTTCTATAAATATTGCTGGTCAGAAAACGGTCAGATATTTTTTTTCTAGCTTCCTACGAAAGTAAAATGTGTAGATGGTAAGAAAGTCAGTAGAAATATTCTACTAGATTTCTACGAAAATAATTTGTTGGTAAGTGGAAGGAATGCCGTAGGGAATTTAATATCCGTTACAGCATCGAAAAACATAATGACCGTTTGAAAATACATCGATTGCTATCTTTTTGATTCTGGTAAGAAAGTGGTAGGAAATCAGAAAGGAAATGGTAGAAAACTCATAGGAAAGTTGTAGGAAAAATTATAACCGTTAGTGACACCAAAAAATGTCTATATATAACGATATTGAGTGTTAAAATCTAAACACAACCAAAAACAAAACTTGAAAACCTCTATAAATATTTTCAAATAATAATAATTGGAGGTAGTGGATGTACAATGATAGATGGGATTCAAGTACTGGATGTCTTAATTAAGAATTCACTGCCGGATTCACCAAATTCATGCGGTTTGCAATAAATCAGGACATATGCCTGGAAAGTGGTAAGTTGTTTTGTTCTTGTCCAAGATGTAATAATAATAAATTCATATGTGTAAATAAAATGTGGAATCACTTAAGTAGTCGAGGATTTAGGCCTAATTACAAGGTGTGGTACTTTCACAGGGCATTTGATTATATGAATGTGGGTAAAACTAGTGAATATGTGTAAGAAAGGGTAGAGCAATCTAGAATGGCAGAAAGGATAGAAGACCTAGAATGGATGAAGAGAACATAGGTACAGCTCAGATGGTTCGTAATGCATATATGAAAAATATGCATATGTTTCTAGAATAAGGGAATAGAGTAGAGCAGCCAAATTCAGCAGCAAGAAGAATTTTTGATATGTTAGACGCAACGAAACAACCTCTAAATGCAGGTTGTAAGGCAGGACATTCTTCTTTGTCAACTGGGACAAGGTTGATGAATTTAAAGACGAAGTACAACTTGTTTGAGGATTGTATAAATGTTTTTACTGATTTTGTGAAAGATATTTTGCTTGAAGATAATTTGACACCAGCTTCATATCTTGCATTGAGAAGCTCGTTTATGGTCTTGGTTTGCCATATCAAATGATCAACGTTTACATCGACAACTGTGCGATTTACTGAAAATCAGACGCAAACTGCTTGGCTTGTCGATTTTGTGGAAAACCTCGGTTACAGAATACCAAAGGAAGAGTTCGAGTGCCGTTTAAGCGTATGTGGTATTTTCTGTTAGCAGATAGGTTGAAAAGGTTTTATCAATCTGAGAGAACTGCAAGGGCTATGAGATAACATGAAGATCATTCAAACGAAAGTGAAATCGCTCATCCTTCAGACGCAGATGCATGAAAACACTTTCAAAAAGTTTATTTGCATGAGAGAGCAGGAATATATACTAGTTTCAACCCATTTTGAAAGCATGAGAGACAGTATTCATTGTGGCCAGTCATTTTGAAAGATTTGCCTCTGTCTTCGTGCATGAAACGAGAGTTTCTATTTTTCACAATACTCATTCCTGGTCCAGAACACCCAAAGCAGTCTCTCTATGTGTTCTTACAGCCACTAATTCATGAGTTTTAAGACTTATGGGAGCATGGATTTCAAGCATATGATGTCTCATGCCCGCAAAATTTTATAATGCGTGCGGTGCTAATATGGACCATTAGCGATTATCCAGCATATCAAATGTTATATGGGTGGACAACACATGGAAGACTATTATGTCCTTGCTGTCAGGATAACACAAATATATTCCAGTTAAAATATTAAGATGTCTTTAAATTGATTTCTAATTATAATTAATTTCATATCCAGCAAGAATTCAACTGGGACCCAAGCATTACCAAGACCATCCACACTGCGTACCAAAAGCATGCCACTATGTCTTTCAAATCCCACTTGAGTACGTGGAAGAAGGTATTGAAAAGAAAAGCACCAGATGATATACCAGAATGGATAAAGGCGAATAAAGCTCTCTTTAACGGTTACATGAAGATGTGGAGGGCTCCTAAAAAAGCTTCAGAAGCAGCCAAAAACTCGAGAAACTGAAGAAGCGAGAGTGGTGGTTTAGGAATGGCGATCCACAACATTAATGGGACAAAATGGTAAAACAAAATTTTACATTTTTATTTGCTGCCTGTGATTTTTATTTATGTTATAATGATTTCATTTCAAATGCATAACAGTAGGCTGCAAACGACGGGAATGATCCTGATATGGTGACATTCATAATGTCATGCACATAAATATAACCACTGGAGTTAAGGACAACAAGGCGGTGGTGATTGTGAGAGGATTATGGCTAAGGTAAATGAGATTGCTTCACAACGGCAAACTCAAAGAGAAGACCCCCTCACGCAAATGGAGATTAATGATTTTGTCCTACAAGTAAGTTAATTTTGGTTATTGTTGATTATAACTATAGTGTTAAGTATAGTGACTTAGATACATAACACTTTGACTCATGAGCTGCATTAAGTACTGAAATCGTTAAAGTATACAAAGTGTAAATCATATTAGCCTCAACTTCACTATATTAACTTAGATTTGATGTACTCAAATGTTTGACTGTGAACTGCATACAAAGTGTTTGACAATTACATTATATTTGACTAGTGAGCTACTTTTTTCATATTTTAGGAAGTACCCATCATCAACGAATGTCGCTTTAGGCTTGGTATATTAGTGGATAACGGATATACCACTTATTCTTGCAACTCCAGAAATGCACCTCATGAAATTCAATTGCGAGAAGAGCTTGAGACATTAAAGAAGTGTCAAAAGAATAAAGATGCCCAAATCATATCTCAGAACACTCAGATTCAATTTATATTGCAATGCAACAAGCTAATCTTTGAGAAGTTAGGTGTTTGCTCTCCTCCTCCTCCATTTCCTTTTACTCCCATAGATGATGATTCTGAAACTCTGGAGTAAATAAAATTTCATCATATATTAGTATGTATTTTTTTTTGAATTGTATGAAAAAAAATACACCTTTTGTAATTATTTAGGTGCTCGGTTTTTTTGTATAAAAATTAGATCTTACTACTAATTTTAATTATTAATTAATTTAGTAGAGAAATTGTAATATTACCATACATTTTTTAAAATTTAATAAAATTTCGATATTACCATTCAAACAAAATTAAACTAATTTAATTGAATTTTTTTGTAGATAATTGGTAGGAAAGATTTAGAAAAAAAATGGTAATAAAATGTTTGGTAGGAAATTAGTTAAAATGGTGTAGAATAGAAGTGGAAGGTAAATTAAATGAGAGTTGTTTTCTACCAATATATTTTGATAGCTAAATTGAAGGAAAGTTATTTCCTACCAATATATTTTGGTAGGTAAACCAAAGGAAAGCTGTAACAACTCCATTATACTTTTTTTTTAACAACTTTCCTATCAAAATTATTGACTATTGTTTCTGTGGAATGTTTCGTCGGAAAGTTTTTACGATTTTTCTACTAGTTTAGATTTTCTACGGTAGATATCCTACCATATATATCTATAGGAAATTGGGAGGAAATGAGTGTTTTATACCAATTATCTTCAATATTTTCTGTAGGAAATTATAATGTTATCTTGTAGAGTGCATCAGATACATACATGGTTCAACAAAATTAGAGAGGGTGTATTCTAGAATTTAACTAAATATAAGGGACATACACTAATTGGATCATGAATTTGTGATAATTTGGAGAGATTTCGAATTTGGTGAAACTTTAACAAGTTGTATTGGTATTTTAACAAGAATACCTATTAACACTCTTTGGATGTTTTTGGTTCTGTGACACCAATTTTTCGTTACTAGACAACAAAAATGTTTTGAGTGATTATTCAATGTTTCAAATTTGATTAGTTAAATTCATATTATCAAAAAGAGATTATTGGAAAAGTGAGAAGTTTTCGCTTCCAGGCTCAACTACTTTCTTAATATTAAAAAAAAACTACACCAAAGCATTAAATATATAAATAGCAAGGAAAATATCATACATAGAAAATGAAACTATAACGTGAACAACATCAAAATAAGTTTCATTTTTAAATTAAATAAATAATAAGCAAAACAAACAAAAAACTCAAGCAAAAAATAAAAGAAAGCAAAGCAAAATAAAATAAAATAAATATATTTTGAAAACAGTTAATAAAAAATAATATGGGTTTTCTACATTTTAATCCGTAGCCTTACCAAGTTTTGCAAATTTAACCTCGACCTCTCAAAAATGCAGGTTAAACCCTCACCCCATGGTTAACCCGCAATACAGTCCATGTGTGTATCGATGACGTGTCATTTATAAACGTCTGTTTGGAAATCAGACAGAATATAAAACACTGCGTATAGATGATTAAAAACAGGATGACTTTTATTTTCTATGTCGTTTTAACGACATAAAACGACATGTTGTTCGTGGTTGACAGTAATTAGAAGAGAAAATCGATTTGAGAGCAGAATTAAAAACTAGGGTTCATCGTGGCTGGGAGAAATGGTTTCTGAGCTCGATAATCTAAAAGTTTGATTAAAGTAGATAGCAGGATTCTAATTCAATTCGAGTAGGTTCATTCGAGTTTTCATCTTCGATTTGAGTAGTCATTCGAGTTTTTGGGATTCTCGGAATTTATTTGAGGAGTTTTGTCGAGCTCTGAAGTTTGGAAGAGAGAACTGAATTTTATGGGAAAGATTCATTTGGAGTCGTGGTGCATTTGAGATCCAAAGAATATGAGGTAACATTTCTAAATTTATTTTGCTTGCTCTCATCTATGGTCTTAGAATTAGATTCGTAATTAGGATTGTTGTTTCTATACGATTAATAGCTTGAAGTTTCTGTGATATTTGCAGTTTGATCTCTTCTTTCATATTGGTGGCTACTGGTCTAGAGATGGATCTTACATTGGTGGAGAAACAAGTGCCGTAGGTAGAATGTTGGCTATGGTTTCTGTTTGAGGTCCATTGAGATGTTAGTAGTTGAAGCAGTGGGCTATGAATACAACATGAAGAAAGTATCTTGGTTTCCACCAGATGATGAGAGTCTGCAGAGAGTCGACATTGATGACAGTGAGGTCTTAGGAAAAGCGGTTTCATATGCTCTTGGATCAGGTGCTTTAACATTGTTTATTGTTAGGGAAGATGATCCGTATTTGATGAATTGCAGTGGTGATGGAGTTGGCGTCTCACCTTTCGAGGATTATGGTGATAATGCGAATGGTGATAGTGATAATAGTGATGGCAGTTCTGATGAAAGCAGTGAAAGCAGTGAGAGCAGTTATGATGAAAGGAGTGCTAATGATGGTGGTAGTGATATTGTAGTTCAGAATGAGGATGCGTCTGAGGCTGAGAGAGAGGTACAAGAAGATGCAAATAGTGATAGTGATGGTGCTCGTAAGACCATAGATGAGAGCAAGTATAAGGTGTTTGCGCTCGGACAGTGTTACTCTACAATTTGGTCTTTCAAGAATGCAATTACAAAGTATGCAGTGAAGAAGAATTATGATATATCATACTTTAAAACGGATAGCAAAAGAGTTGTTGCTGTTTGTTGTAAACGAGCATGTCCTTGGAGGATTTGTGGATCGATCAATAGCACTAACAGCAGGGTTGTGGTAAGAGCTTTACAAGAAGAGCATGATTGCACATGGCAAGGTAAAGTGTCTCTGCTTACCAACGCACGCATTGCAGACATCTATAAGGAAGAGTTTAGGGAGAATCCACATTTTTCAGCAAATCAACTACAAGTTAAATTGTTAAAGCGAAGCATAAATGTTCCTTGGACTATCTGTGTGAGGACAAGGTTGAGATGCTTGCAATCATTTGATGATGAACAAGCAGAGGAGTTTACAAGGCTACATGATTATGTTGCTGAAATAAAGAGATCTAATGAAGGTTCGAGTGTGGAATTTGAGGTTAGAGAAGGTGTTTTCCATAGATTTTATGTATGTTTCAAAGCTTTGAAAGATGAGTGTAAGGGAGCTTGTCGGAAAATCATACACATTGATGGTACTTTTCTGAAGTGGAGAATGACCTGATTTTTGTTAGTTGCATGTGGAAGAGATCCAAATGATCAAATGTTCCCTATTGCTTGGGACGTTGTGGATGGTGAAACTAAAGAGCATTGGATTTGGTTCTTTCAGCATCTGGTTGATGACTTAGGATTAGGAATAGGCAACGGTTTGACATTGTCCAGTGATCAATGTAAGGGGCTGATAGGAGCGGTCAATACGGTACTTCCGTATGCCGAACACAGGCCGTGTGCACGCCATGTTTATCAGAACTAGAAAAAGTTACATAGCGGAGCAGAGTATGAGGACTTGTTTTGGGGTGCTGCAGATGCATATTACATGCAGGATTTTGAAAGGAAGATGCAGGCGTTGAAGAATATTTCCCAAAAAGCTTTTGATGATTTGAAGATATCAAATTCATGTGCTTGGTCTAGGTATGTTTTCGTTTTATTTATGTCTCTTTTAGTTACAAATTCTATCTTTTGTCGTATCTAACTCTTCTAGTATTTAACGCTGGGCTTATTTCACTGAATTCTCTAAGTGTGCGGCTGTGGAAAACAACTTAGGAGAGTCCCTCAATGCTGCCATCCGTGTGGCGAGAACCAAACCAGTTGTTAAGATGCTTGAAGAGATGCGAAGACGTGTCCTGGTGAGCAATGAGAAGAAAAGAAAAGAATCAGAGAAAGCGAAAGGGATTTACACTCCTAGAGCAAGAGCATTTCTCGATCAACAAATAAAGCTTGCAAAGAATTGCAGTCCTTTGCCCTGCGGTTTGGGTAAGTACGAAGTTGGATACTTCAGCGACCGGTTTGTAGTACAATTAAGAGGTGAGGTGCTTTGTGCATGCAGAATGTACACTGTAAGTGGCATTCCTTGCTGTCATATGGTCTCTGCACTTCGGTTGGAGAAAAATGTTGATCATGAACCGAAAACATTGATCTCGGATTGGTTTACAGTAGAGAAGCTACAGAAGTGTTATGAAACTCCAATGGAGCCTGAGAATGGCAAGAATCTGTGGGAGATAACAACCGCTGAAAGGGTTAAGCCACCTCCATATAAGAATCCTCAAGGGAGACCACCAGGTAAGAAGATAAAGAGGGAAAATGGTGAAGCTAGAGAGAAAGGGAAAATGACCAAAGTGGGACTTGTCATGGTAATGTCACTCTCTCTATTTCTCTTGCAATACGCTTGTTTTGGTACTGTAAATTATGTGATGAGAGGGCGTTGAATTATGTGATTAGTTAGTTGTCTAAGATCATTAGTTAGTTGTCTAAGATGTCTTTTGTAGGTAGCCGATGCTAACGAATGTAGTCTCTTGTATTGTAGTCGATACTAATGATATATTCGTTTCACTGTTGTCCATAGCATTATGGGAACTGTGGACAGGAAGGGCACTACAAGACCAAATATAGCAACGCTTTGTGCCTAAAACATCAAAGAAGCCACGCGGGAGGCCAAGAATTCACCCACCTCTAATAGAGAGCACAACATCATCCCAAGTGCAAAGTTTGCCATCTCAAGTTCAAAGTCAGCCTACTGAACGCCTTCGAAGAGAACAACCCGAACGCCCTACAAGTATTTCACAAGCCCTACCAAAGCGAAGACCTGGAAGACCACGCAGAGATTGGTTTGGGGCTGCCTCATCTTCACAAGAAGCTTCTAGGCAGCATCAGCCTTCTTATGATACAGCACCTATACAAATACCGAGAGTATGTATTCAGCTTGTCTTCTATGCTGATTTCGTTTGCTTATATGCTTGTTTGCTAAAGGCATTTGGGTTTGTGTGTGTTTGCAGGAAGAATATGGACTTTTCACAAGTCGCTTAATTGGTGATGACTACATATCAGTTGGATCACGTGTAACAGATACAAGTGACAATACAATCCTACCGAGCTACCTGTTTGCAGCAAGAGAGTGCAAGAAAATGGCATCACGAGGTCGTGGGAAGAAGATGTGATCTTGTTTCTATCGATGAAGAGAAAGATGTTTTGTTTCTTCTGTTTTGTATTAGTGAAACTCATGCTCTGTTTTTCTTTCGGATCATGTATGCTCTGCTTTTATTTTGTTTTTGCAACTCTTTTAAGACTTTACTTTCTATTTCTTTGCTTTTGAATCTTTTGTGACAATACTTTGTGTCTTTTATGACAATATCATTTGTGACACTACTTTCATTTCCCTTTTATTGTCTTTCAACAGATGATTGTTATAGTAAAACCAACATAATTAAACTATTTTAGTGAAACGATCATATAAACCAATATTTCTGAATATATTAGATCAAGCAATAATATTATACATCATAAGGCTAAGTTCAAGTCTTTTAAACATGGCAACAAGGTCTTCAAACATTTCAAACATAGAGTTATTACTTCAACATCTACTTAAACATCATAATGGTGAGAGCAATGATCACAATGAGTGCACCAAGAGCAATCTGCATCTTCAAACCGCTTGTTACACCACTTTCCTTCTTCTTCATCTCATCAACAACCATCACCAACTTGGCAATCTTCTCTTCGGTCTGAATCTGATTCTGCTTGAGCTGATCAATTTCGGCTTTTGCCATATAGAAATCGTCAATGTAGGTTAATAGCTCTATCTTCTCTAACACTGCTCCATAATCGTTATGAATGAGAGTAAGCACCTCCATGATTCTCTTATCCAACCACTTCCAAATATGGCATTCTCCATCTCCTACATTTGGACAAGTGAAAAACCTTCTTCTCGGATCCATTGTGGAACGATAAGTATCGATGATTGCTTTAGCTCCACAATAACATTCAGTCATAATCCCATCTTCTTCTATTGGGATTTCATTTCGAGCTAATCTTCTCCTAACACCACTTGAATCGTTACTGCTTGAAGGTTGAGTGTAGCTATGAATGCCCATTTATACAAAACGCTACAATATCCATCAATAAACAACAAAATATTTCATAACTTCTCAATTTCACACCATATTGATCATGATCTATAAATATCTAACAAATCCGATTTGCATTTGGTAAGAACAACAACAGATTTGCATTTCATCATCAGAACTTCAGAACTTCTCAATTTCACACAAGCAAGCTTCGGACATTATTAATAGTAAACAGATTCCTGATCCGAGAAATGACACAGAGATGAGATTATGGAGCAGAGATGCAAAAAGTTACCTTTGATTTCGGCGACACAGAGATGCAAAAACGAAGAGAACGGATCCAAATGAGATGAGATTCTTCAAATTTCAAAAGCTCAAGAACCCCTAATTTCAATTATATCTCGACAAAAATCCCCAAATATCAATAAACGCCGTGGTTTTTATCAGTTTTATTCAGTAAAAAATGCAGCGTTTTGGACTTCGTTAATAATATAATGTCAACTTAACGCGTGGACTGTATTGCGGGTTGACCGTGGGGTGAGGGTTTGACCTGTATTTTTCAGAGGTCGAGGTTAAATTTGCAAAACTTTTTAAGGTTACAGGTTAAAATGCAGAAAACCCAAATAATATCTTATATAAAAAATCAACTAGATTAAAAGCCTCGAACCTTATAGAAATGAATTATCGTTAAGATGATTTGAACAGCTCTGTCTTAACAATTTCAAGAGCCTTGGGCGAAATACAAAATATGGATCCTTTTTATACTATATTCAAAAAATATAATAAATTTTTAATAATTAAATTAATCAAAATAACTTAAAATAAATTAAAACATGAATCTTTGATATCTTAAAATATAATTCTACTAGTTTATTAAAAAAAATACATAACTAATTTGTTATAAAAAAATTGACATAGTACTTCACTTTATTCAAGTGCACCATTCATGTGAATTGCATCAAAAGATTCACAAGACCTGAAAAATACAAAACAAATATCAATTCTTTCTAAGAAAGTAAAAAACCATATAAAACATTTCTTTCTAACTTTTGATGATCATACAAGAAGTAAACTAGAATAGGTTAATCAATATAAATAGAAGGATTTTTTATCTGTTTGTGAAACTTTTTGTGATTTTGAATAACTGGGATGATTGTTGTCTGGTTGTGTCTGAATCTCTAGAAAGAAGATAACAACAACGCTACTTTTTTAAATTTTTTTGGTATGAATAATTTAGGTGTAATTCTAGTTGTATAACTAGATGATGGGCCTTTTAATTTTAATTAAATAGATAATGGGCTTTTATGAACTAAAAATTAGTTATATATTTTTAAATAAATTAAATAACACATCTATATTAAAATTTACAATATATTTATAAAAAAAAATTGGGCCTTGAAATTTTGGACTCATAACCACAGCCCCCTCCAGCCATGCTTCAAAGCCGTGAGTGAAGAGCCAATATACCCTTATTTGTTTCAAAATAATCTCACTACCCTCTTCTCTCTATTTTACCATTCCTTCCTTCTCATTTAATTAAATCAAAAATAAATAAATAAATAAATTTATTCAAAACAATAACAAATAAACTTGGTCATATTTATATAGTGATAATAGTGATGCTAGTGAAATTGTGTAACTTGTTTATTTTGTGTTTTTGAAAACTAAGCATAACTGGTGCAATTGATAGTATTCAAGTGCCATTTTTTTATTTGATTTAAAAAAATTATTAGACAAACAAATATTCAATATGAAACAAACAAATCTTTGTTAGATAAATAACTATTAAGTGTTTAATAACGTGTATTAACTGGTTAAACTAAATTGATGGAATAATTGTTTGTTAGATGAACATTTACATAACAAACACCATACACTTCTATGAACACCAAAGACACATATGATGAGATTTGAAACATTTTAATGCATAAAACCTCAGAATTAACAACATAATTACTAAAATTATTTGTAAAACTACAAATAAAAAATTCATTGTAGAGTAAAACTAAATAAAGTTGAAAACACCGAAAAGTACAACTATTTGCAAACTGGTACAACGAAAAAACTATAGATAACTAAGTGTATTTTTGGCGGCATCCACGTAAGCAAAAAACGGCGCACGTGTCAATTTGGGGGTGCACATGTTTTAGGGGCAGGTTTTTCAATTTTTAGGCATTTCAGCATGATTTTTCCCGGTTTAGGGTAAGCATTTGGAATCGGGGTTCTAGGGATTTGCTTTTAGTTTTCAGATCCAATTTCGTTCTCTCTCTCATCCTCTCTCTTCTTCTCTCGAGGACTCGTCCTTTTCTTCCTTCTTCCCCATTACAGCAATTCATATTCATCTAGGGTTCGTCTACGGTTCACAAAGAAATTTGAGATTGGGATTTGTGTTCTCTTAGGTTTGTCTAGGTGGGTTGGCAAATAAATTTGGGATTAGGGTTTGTATAGTGTTTTACATGTAGTAATACGGAACCATGTAATACTGAACCAAGTAATACTGAAGTAAATAGCAGTGAACCAAGCTTTAAACACAAATCAAAACACCAAACAAATTAAAACACCGTAGCATAGATTTACTTAAAAGTACTAGTCTCACGAACTCCATACTGCCCAACCAAGCTTCCTTTTTCTTCTCTGTACACGTCGTTCGAAGAACTAGCAACTACATGCCCATCACCTTGTGGTTTTGGTCCTTGTGCATGTAGAATAAATGCTTGAACTAGGTGTTGTAATAACTCAAATTCGACCTAAGAACGAACAAGAGTTTGTGGGTTTAAAGAGAGATCTTTATTAAGAATAAGCCGGAGCTTGTGAAGATACACGGTGGTTCAGGACGTCGGAATAAGAACGCCGACCTAAACTTTTATGGAAGTGAATCGAGAGCTAAATAACAAGATTGCTTAGTTTGCCCTAGATCTCGAGAAAGTATTTTTTGATGGTTTGAGAAGTCGAGGACCTCTTTTATTTATAGCCGATCAGGTCGGTCTTCTGTGCGCTCAAAAAAGGAAAGTCTCCTTGCCGATAAGACTAAACTTCCATTTTTCCTGGGTCCGCTCGATAAATGGAAGATTTCCATTTATCTGGCCGACCTGAACCTTCCAAGATGGGCCGACCAGAATTCATATCGGGCTATCAGAGATGGTATGAATCTCATCTCTAACAGTAAGTCCCCCCCCCCCCCCCCCCCCCCAGTTCGGCAAGTGCGGATACGTTACTTGGCGAACTTCAAGAGATGTTGCTCGATATGGATTCAGGTCGGCTGCTGAAAAAGTTAGAATATAAAACATAACTTTACCTCGAATTCAGATCTGCGCGATGTCGAGGGTCAGATGGTGAATTTGGGCGCGAAAAACTCCCGCCTGAAATTCCCACCAAAGGCAATGTAGAATAGGTCTAGGTCTGCGCATGCAAAACTAGGCTTGACACGTGTCAAACACTAGAGGAGGAAAGCGAAGAGGTCGATTAAAATAAAATGAGAAGAAATGCGAAAGGTTGCTGAACTCATGATGACTTTCGATAACCGTTCTCATTTTGTATAAATAAGGGGAACTCGGCTTTCATTTCTTCACTTCTACATTTTTGCGAAACTCTGTCAAATTCAGGTTTGCTCTCTTCTCTCTCTTCTTTTTATTTTTGTTAAGATTTTCCAATCAGACCTCCGCCACATTTTGTTCGATCTCTGCCGCGTAATTTCTCCGACCAGCGATGAATATGAGTTTGAGCATCAAAGAAAACCGATCTGAATCAGAGAAGAACAGATCAGCCAAAGCGAGAGCCGATGAGATCGGCATCTCATTAGAAGAGTTTCTAGAGATCTCCCGAGCCGACTAGGCTGCAAGGGGCTGATCGAAAGGCAAGCAGGTCGTCATCAGTGAATCAGGATTAGATCGCTCTTCGGATGCAAGCGAGCTCTCCGCACTTGATCGGGCGTTCCAGGAACGTGTTCGGGAGAAGAACCAGCAAGCGGCAGCTGATCGATTTCATGCCGATCAGGTTGGAGCCGTTCTAAGGTCCAGGGAAACATCGCCCAGAGCCGAATTCGAGATTTCCGAACTGCGGGATGAAGCTGACGTAAGGGGTGGATCGAATGAGATGGATGTCTCGGACGAGTTGAACACCATAATCATCGAGGACGAGGTCAATATATTTGGGATCATCAATATGAACCATCCAGTGAAAAAGATCAAACGGCTAAAAGGAAAGAAGGCGATCAAACCGATCTGCGATAACGCTCTAGGAGTGATGCCGACTAAGTCGACTATGGAGTCCTTGGTGTCGCTAAAGAAGGAGTGTGATATCGGTCCTGAAGTTATCTTCATGGTCCCGAGTCCATCTGAGCGACCATGGGACGCGCTGAGAGGGTGGTTCTGCATCTACAAGTGTTTCTTCAGGGAATTCCACTTTTGGTTTCCCCTCCCGAGGTTGTTGTTAGAGTTTGCCGACCATAAGGAGATGCCGATCTTGCAGTTCTCACACTCCACGATTCGTTTGATGGTGAGTATGCTGGTGATGTCGATCAGGCATGACACCCCTTTGAGCCGAGCCGCGTTTGACGCGATGACAAACACGAGGAGGACGAAAGAAAAATTGCGTAATCGCGGGTCATACTACACCAGCATGAAGAGTAGATTAAACATCGTGAATGGTGGCCAAAAAACAAAAGTACCGGATTGGAGAGATCGCTACTTCTTCGTGTTGATCAACGAATTCTTTATCGCCGACCAAGATAACCCAGTTCGAACGAAATAGGCGGAGGTCATAGGTAGAGATATGCCCGATCTGAAAAGTTAGTTAGATTATATGATTTTGCTTGTTGCTAATCGGTCTTATTTTTCCTTTCCAGGTAACAAACATCTCCCATTTGTCGACAATCCGCTCGACATATACGAGATTTATGAATGATTTGCAGCGATAAGCACAGTCACTTGGCCGGAGATCACAGAAGAGAAAATTTTGAGAACAAGAGGTTAATTTCATTTCGTCGAGTTGTGGCTACAGTTTAGAAGATCTGTCCGTCTAAGTTCCTT